AATATATAGATATATTTCAATTTGTTCCAAAACCATGACCCTCATGACCAACAACAATAGAAACTTGTCTGAGAAAACAGCACAGAATCTCCACTCTCAAAAGCTTTAAGGACTGTTAGATTTCAAGGAACGAAACAGTTGAGAAGTCACTACATTTGTCATATTTCAAGCTGAGTGTATAAATAATAAAGGTCAAACTCAGAAAACAAGGCCGATGATTCCATGGTGACCAGCCAGACTCTAGTTCCCATCATTTATTCGGATGTTGATGGACTTCCCCAGGAAGCCTGGGAAAATAACAGAAGTAACTCAACTTCCCCCAAGAGAAAAGGCCTCATTTTTCCTTGGCAGATTCATTTCTAATCACATAGCAGGGAACCATTATTAACATCTGGATATTCAAAAAGAGCCACTGAATTATTATAAAAATGTTTCAAATCATCAGCCTAAAACTGAAGTGATCTACAATGTGCATGATGCTTTTTCTCCCTTTAGTCAAGAAGATAAATGGAGAAATTCTTTGTATTTCAACTTCCATTACACATTTGTTTTTAATCTAGGAAAATTCATGTTTGCCTACTGTTCCTCCTTATCAAAGACTACAATGTCAGCAACGGCTTCTGCTCCTCCCACCATGAGTTTCTTCTGAGAGCACAACTCTTTTAGGAGTAGGGTTACTGCAGAAATTAACTGGTTCAAAACAGCCACAAGGCAGAGAATAAGACCTAATTAGATTCGCTGTTTAATGTAGTTACATGCTATTAGATTGAAGGAGAACTAGGAGATCAAATGTCTTCCACTTTTTAGCCAGCGCCTGCCTCTTTTAAACATAAGAATTAATTGTCATGGCTTATTGCAAATACACTCAGACATTTCAATGCTGTTTGCCAAACCTCATCTCAGTCCTTAACGTTAGAAGCTGGAGACACTTGATAAACATAAGCCATGCTGCTAGCTTACCAGTAGCTTCCATTGCTTTCAGACATAAATTCCCACCACGGTCCACAAGGCTCTGCTTGTAGACTTAACAAGAAATCAGATTCAGATGAAAGAAATGCTTTGAAACCTACCTAACACTCTCCACCCCATCCCAACAAGGATGAGCAAGTTACAATCCTTAGGCAACATTTATTTAGGCAAAGCCCATCCCGAACTTGCTCCCTTAGAATGGATAACAGCTTCCCACTACCCTACTCTGTCTCCCTATCCTCCCGTCACCTGTTCCAGCCCAACCAGGCCCTCCCTACTCCCCAACACCTGTGCCAGCCCCTCTTCCCACACCCTGCCCATCTCTAAACCACATGAAACTAAGGCTTTGCCCCAAATCCTCTTTATATCTGTTCTTTATGGCTCAGCCCTACTCAGTCCCTTGGTCTCAGCACAAGAGTCAGTTCCTCAAAGACATCTCGCCCATTGAACAAGCTCACAGACTCTACAGGCTCCCTCTGTGACACTGAGCACACAAATGATAACCAGATACTAGAGGAGTCTATGTATTTTTTTAAATATCTATTTCCTCACTAAGTTTCATAAATGCAAAAAGTAGGCCTGTTTGGTTAGTATAACTTCCTCAAAGCCTAGAAGAGAACCTACTTACAGGTCCTCCGAAAGCATTCTTTCATTGTGCGAGAATTCTTCAGAAGACAAAGCCCTCCTCAGTAGCTTTACATTCAGATACATTTCATCCAAATACATGTCAGGGAGTATTTCAGAGAGAAAAAACTTCACAGTTGATTGGACATAGGAAGGAGAAGGCAAAGGGACTGAGGTGTGTTTTTTGTTTTTGTTTTAGTCTGACAGTGGCTTTTTTTATTTTATGGAAAAATAAAACTAAATTTCATAGCAAAATAATAGGAGAATAACAATAGTTAATACCCTGCATATTGTTATCTTCAAAATAGTTACTCAGAGTACAAGATATAGGCATAAAAAATTCTCCATACTATATTAGCATAAATCTTTCTTTTCAATAAACCAAGAGAAACTAGTAAGGCAACTATCATGTATTTTGTTTTTGTTTCCTTTCCCCCTTCCCTAACCTTAGATCCTCCTTCCTTCTGAACATTTTCTTTCCATTTCACAATACCTGTTGTATACAATACCTGTTGGTTCATGTTTATTCTTTCTCATACCAGTGAGACAATATGATGTTTACAAATGTGAGTCTGATTTCTTTCACTTAACAGTATGGTCTCACGTTGCATTCATTTATCTATAAATGTCTCAAGTTTATCCTTCTTTATGGCTGAGTGGTACTCCATTGTATAAAAAGACCACATCTTTTTTTTATCTATTTTGACTGGTTGGTCACCTCAACCTTAAACAGTTGTGTGACCAGTTCCAGAGGAACTGGCTTAAATATTTTAGATCAAGCTAATAAATAGGTCATTAAATATGTCTTATAGTCATACTTTGAAAAATATAGTTTCAAAGTAAACTGAAAGCCTAGACAACCAAACATTGTAAAATGTAGAGACTAATCAAGGTGGGTTTTCAGTGTCCAAAGTATCTAGATTTTAAAACTCTCAATCAGGAGATAGAAACACAGTATATAGTGTGTAAAAGGCTCAGACTTAAAGGCTACTCAGATTCTACTTCCGTTCAACTGGGAAATCAATGTGTGCACAAATGGAAGTTACTGGCTGAAAAGAAACTACTGCTCTACCTTAATCATCCCTCTTCTTTCATATCTACCCCAAGAAAAAGTGTCACTAGGTTCCTCCTTTGTATATTTTTCCATTTCATATTCATCCTTGGTGTCCCCAGACAGTGATGCTACATGGCAGTCTTGAGGTCCCAGACAACTCTGAACTTGTATCTTCCTGGTCATTACAATGAGCACTTCACAGTGCTCATTGTAGTGACCCAAGAAGGGGAGTGAGAAGCCCACGAAGGGGAGAAGGACACCTCTGGTGTCACGCTGGTCCACTCTGCTTTCCAGGAGGATGTGCTGCCGAAGTGCAGTGCTGCCATCTTCCTTCGGTCTTCAGTTTCCTACCCAGAGATCGGCTCCTTCATTTCTGGCAATGATGCTAACAACTGTCTTTATTTTTGCCCCTTTCCATCCTGTCTGTCAAGTAATCACCATCATCTTCATACTAGTGCCCCATTAGAAATTGTAACATGTGATTTAGAATTAAATGTAAGGATCCATACATTCTTTTGAAAAATGATAGATCGCATCCCAGCGTTGTAACATAAACAAAATTATTTGTACTGAGATTGTCTTGTGCAATCTCTGTTGTTCCTATATTTTGTTCTGTTGATAGCCTGAAAAAGACTTTACCAGACTTCTTTTTGCTTATCTGGTATTGCATTCGCTTACTCGATGTTTTGCCAAGACAAAAATATTCTAGCAGTTAAGTTGGAAGAACAGACATTCCACTCGCTTATCTGATGGAAACATGAAGACTTGCATTGAGAATTGTTTTGCCTATGTTGATTTCTACAGCGGGTTCTCAGGCTGTGACTTGCTCCATAACTGCTAGTAGAGAAAAGAAGGATATAACTTCAAGGTGAAATGCATTAAACAGACTTACTTTTCAGCTTCTTTTTCATTCCACCTCCAGCAGAACTAATGCCTAATGATTCCAGGAAGTGAAAAGCAATTAAATTTCACTTGGTGTAAAGTTGAAGAAATTGTCCCATGTGAAAAGAATGTTTCTTTGCCACATTCCATAGGTGGCAATAAACAGGCAAATTCACTAGTTTTGATATAGTAGTATGAGCTTTCACAGGGCTCAGGTTGATTTCATTTTAAAAAGTTGAATTTATGGGACAGCGGATTGAAAGGTCTGTACTGACATGTTTAAAACCCTCTTTTAAAAAGTGGCATATTGCATCGTTCCATTTAAGTGTTCACACCACAGACTGAAACATAATCTGTTTACTAAAAAAACAACTTTTTATTGCTCCGTGAATAATTTCCCATTGAAAAAGAAAACAATGTACAGTATTTTAGTGCTTTGTGAGACATCTGGAAATTTTTTTCAGTTGCTAAAGCTATGAAGAATTTGCATCTACATTCAAACTTCAAGTTTTTAATTCAACACAGAACAACTTCAAATGTGCTGTTGAGCCAACCTAACTGTGCTCCAAAGGCCCACTGAGGGCACTCAGAGAAACAAAGCCACATATCCACCGCAAGGCGAGTCTGGTTTCACAGAGGACCCACTGGGGGTGTTTTTCCTCTTTGTCCTCGGGCTTCTGAGAGCTGTGTAAAGTACACTATATTAGTTGGGCTTACACCAGCTGCTCTAACAATTAAACCCCCAATCTCAGTGGCTTAGCATAATGGAAGATTATTTTTGTTGCTCACCTAAGCATCCAGCGTGGGTGCAGCAGGCCAATATATAGTTTCCACATGGAGGTGTGAAGACCCTGCCTCCTGGCATCTTGTGTGTGTGCCACATTTAACAAGGCTCTGGGCAACAAAGGGAAAATGTAGAGTCTGGGGACAGTGCCCATTATGAGGCTCACATCTCACTGCTTAGAACTGAATCACATGACCAAAGCAACATTAAAAAGGGATGCAGAGTATCATCCCAGGAAGGAAAAAGGAAGACGTGTAACAGATAGTTATCCACTCCTTAGAACTCGGCCAGCCTTTGACAATAGTGAATTTTCCCCTCTGTTTCAATATGCACAGCACTCTTTAATTTTTTTTTTTTTTTTTTTTTTTTTTTTTGTCTTTTTCCTTTTTACTGGTACTGGGGATCGAACCCACGACTGCCTGCTTGCAAGGCAGGCACTTATGCCGCTGAGCTAAATCCCCAGCCCAATATGCATAGCACTCTTAATCTCAGGAGCTCTAGGAAAGTCTCCTACTACAGGTGTTAAGATATTTCTAAAGTAACAAGTACCAAAAGCCATTTGACTTAGGCACACTTCCTGGTGTCAGCTCCTAAGCCTCATGAAAGTTATAAAATGGCTTTGATGATGAAAACAGCAAAGTCATCAGTTCAAACTCTGGAAAATAATGCAAACTTTGAATGCAGACGTTTTGTGTTTCATTTCTTTTTATTTTTCCCCCAAAAGATTTATTTCTTCTCCATGGAGCTTCATGCAAATTTATGACTCAGGCGCTCTTTATAAAAACATCTTTGCACAGTTGCTTAAATACTGGTGTGCAGGTGCAATATTTAGACTTTAAGATGATGCAGTGATAAAGGCCATTTTCTCTCAAGTACAGGTCCACCTAGAAAAAATTAAAACATAAACGCTGAGAACCTGTGTGCATTCTTTTGTTCCCACTGTATACTCCTTTTGCCCCAACTAACGTGAATGGCTCTGCTCTGTTACCATCAGATGCCACCCTACTTAAATCTCCTGATGACAATGGTCTGTCTACACACCAGCCTCCTCTGTTAGACTACAAATTACATGAAGAAAGAGACCCTGTATCCCTTGTTCATCCCTAGCACATGCCACAGTGTCCAGCTCCTAACAGGTACTTGCTAAATATCTGTAGAATAAGTTTGTGTTGAATGCAAGTTGGAAAAAGATAAACTCCACAAACATCAAAAGAACCAAAGCTACTAGTGCCTAAAAGAGAAAGAATCGCACATCTAGTTCAAGGGAGGTAAGGAAAGGGAAATATTTTCTGAAGCATTTCAAGTGGGGTGTAAAAGAAAGACAGAGTTGCAGCAACCAGAATCTCTGAGGTGACAGAGGGGCAGCCTGTGCAAATGTTGGGAAGGGAAAAGTAAAGATCTGCCTTGGGAATAATTAGTATTCTGGTTCTTCATATGCATAAAGCATGTGAAGAGAGGGCTAGAGACAGGCATGGAAAGGGGAGTGGTGGATTTTAGAAAGGATTTTGATGCTCATGATCTGTGGGCCATGGAGAGCTGGAAGAAGTCTTGGTACAGAGAGGCCCTCCCAAGCAGGTAGAGGATGGAACATACTGATGGAGGGAAGAATAAAAGGACTCTTGGGAGGTATGATAACACCCAGGTGAACAGCTGAGCCTTACTTAGGAGAAACAAAGTGAGGAGGGCTGGGGCAGGAGAATTTCCTGGCAGAGGTCAGAGGGGAAACGTATAGCTTTTAACAACCAACCAGATTTAAGAAACTAGGCATGATGGGAGAAATAAAGATATGTAGAAAAGATATAAGGAAAACTGTAATTTAAAAACTGTGCTTTTAAGAAAACTACATCTTTGAGACACAATCAAAGGTACCCAAATTTGCCATGCTTTTCTCTTTGCTTCCAGATTACTCACTTCTAATTCCTAAAAGCCTTAAAACATACAGTACACTTGTAAACATGGGCTGTGTCTTCCTTCTTTATATTGGGATCACTGTTTTCTTCCAATAGTATAGATTCACAAATTTATAGACCTCTACCCTAAAAGAAAGAGCACTACTAAATGGTTGCTGTATCTCTAAACTTTAAACACACTCAGATGGTTTGCATTTTAACCCAATCCACTAATTGGAAACCTGGAATATGCAGCATAGCTTCTCATGTTAGAGACAGCCTAAAGACCACACAAATACTTCTGGCTCAAGATCATAATGCTCCTTATTCCACAAGCAGCCACATTCTATCCTGGGTAGGTACCTCTTGGATTCTGCTGAATTATCTGCCTCTGCTTCCCTGAAACGCTTTTCTGTAATGAAAATCAGTGAATCTACTGTGTGGAGAGGGTCAAACTGAGATACCCATCTTCTCTTTGGGGAGATATCCTCGAACTCCATCCAGTGACAGAACCAGAGAGAGAGAAGTGCAAGGTCAATGAAGATATGGTGCTACCATTCACAGGAAAAGGGACTTGGAGAAAAAGATCTGGAAGGATGATTAGGGGAAAGTAAATGGTTTTGAGACATTTGAGCTTTGGGAGAGGTAGGACAGGAAACTGAGAAAGTGGGACATAGCCTGGGCTACCAGGAAGCTGAGACTGCAAAGCTGTCAGGCAAAGGCAGGACAGCAGGGAGGAGGGTCTTTAGTCCAGGCATTGTAATCTTCAAACTATTCAAACAGAGACTCTTAACATTGCCTCTAAATAAATGCCCCACAAAACTCATGTGTTAAAACTTAATCTCTCTTGAGGTGGTATTAAGAATGGGACTTTGGGGCAGTATTAAGTCATGAGAATTTTGCTATTGAGAATGGTTAAATGCCTTGCCAAAGGGCTAGTAGGAACTATCTTAATGCTTTTTTTGCCTTTCTGTTTTCCTACCATGTAAGGACACAGCATTCATCACTTACAGGATATAGCAACACGGTACCATCTTGAAGTGAGACTGGGTTTTCACCATACACCATGCCTACTAGTGATGTGATCTCCAACTTTATATCTTTCAAATTGGTGAGAAACAAATTTTCATTCTTTGTCAATTACCCAGTCTCAGGTATTTTGTCATAGCAGTACCAACAAACTTGAGACAATGAGTATATATACATATTGAATTCATGTAGTATTGGAAGCTTGATAAATACAAATTTTAGAAATGTACCACATTTTTGCATCCCTGCTATGATATTTATTTATTCTTCCAATATGTATGCCAACTTTTGAAAAATAAAAATATCATCTGCGAAGTCTGGCTGGGGTTCACTCATAAGCTGCATCTATCTTCAACTGTAGCAATCTTTCCATTAAATAATGAAACACTTCCATCAGTTATCACTTTCCTGCCTAGTCATCTGCCTGCCTACCTGAGGACCAGAATGTGTCCTGATTAGTCAAAATCCCAATAGCTGCTAGTCTGACTTCCGCCAAAGAAAAAGCAACTCAAAAATATTTTGGGAAGAATAGTAAGAAAAAAAGCCTCATTCATACTGAGGTTATAACTGTAAACATTAAAAAATATAAAGACCATAAGGAATAAATAAAATTATCTTTCTTTCACAAAGGCAACAATGGAAGTCTTCTAGCAATAGTAATGATACCTACAATATGGCAATTCTCAAATGCAATCCAGGCACCATCTTTTGTGTAAAGATTCTCCTACATTATCAAGTAAGTTCTGTCCAATTTGGCATTGCAGTGTGGGATGTAGAGATGGCAAATATCAAAGGGAATGCCAACCTTCATCTTTTTAACACCTTGGATTCCCTTTTGCACCCATAAGGAGAGTCTTCTCCAGAGAAACTCTCAACCACCTTTACAACTCCTCTCTGCCTTTGGTGCCTAACTAAGTACTCAAGCAGAGAGATGAAGTCAAGCTCTGGAAGATTTAAGCAGATTTGAAGTGAAGATAAAGCAATCTTAAGGTGTTTTTTTCTTTCCTTCCTCCATTAAACCCTGGGCAGATTGCTTCAAGCAGAAAGAAAAACACATTGCCCAATTATGATAAGAATATTCTTTTGACACACCTGTTTTACTTCTCAAAGTTGACTTTGATGACCTTAATTTTACTTATGCTATGGTATAAATTTTCACTGAGATCTTTATCTCATCCTGACACCAATTAGCACATGAGTTTCAGCAGAAGAATCTGTGGCAATTTAATCCATACTTTCGAAGAAAAGGAAACGCTAATCGAAATGAAGACTGTCCCAAAACCAATTGAACAGGTGTGCATTTCCATAATGGCTGCACAATTCAGCAACGAAGTGGTGTTTGCTGCTTTCGCTTATGAACGGAATTAGTAATCTTCACATGCCCTGTCCCGGTGATTGAAATAAATTACTTTGTTAAATTGCGAAGCAGGTTGACCCATCTGTTGGCCCATGAATGTTCAGATTCTCAGAGGGTTTATTATTCCAAATAATGACTGCCATATGCAGCGGTAAACAGTTCCTTTAAAACTGACTGAAGGATTTGGAGCTACTTTTGAAGGCAATTTATAAAGCTATCTGTGTTCCCCTAAAAGAATCTGCCCTTCAACTAAACTTCTAGAAAAGTTGTCTTGATCGGTTAATCCTGGCTGAAACATCTTGTCCTTTTTGGAGAGAAAAGAGAGAGCAAAGAGCAGAAACACACATTCCAGCAGCACCTACTATGTGTCAGGCACCACACATTGCCAGCGCTGCTTCAAGGAGCCTCCCTATAACTGTGTGAAGTGGTCGTTATTATCCCAGAAAAAGGGGGAGAGAATGGAGGGGAAATGGCCCATCTCAAAACAACTGCCATGTCACAGAACTGGACTGGAGTTCAGTCCAGCTGACTCCAGGACAGACTGAGGATCTTATGGAAAGTGTTTAGCTTGAGAGGCGTACTGAGGATTCTGCGCACTCACAATTTAGACCTCAAAGTGTGAAAGTACTCATGCCTGTGTTCTGATTCTGCTTGGCTCTTCTCTAAACAGAGAAGCCCCATTCTGCCCCTCCTGAAAGCCCTGTTTATGGAGGACAGGGCAGGGCTTTGAACTCCTATTGGCAAGAAACTGATAGGAATGTTTTAAAGACAAAAACCTACAGTTTCTCTTTTCAGATGTGCCTTTTCTTGCCTTAGATCATCTCGGTCTTCAAATCCCTGTGGAGGATGTGTGTTCTGCACACACAGTCCATAAACCGCTCTGACCACGGCCCAAGCCATGATTTGTTCATGATGTTCGCAGTGACTCGCTGTGACTAGGTTACAGATGTTAAATTGCTGATGGATGGCCCATGGCCAGCACATGGTCGGCTCTTCTGGTATTCAACGGCAGTATTAATCATGTGTGGAAAGGTATTTTCCCCCTCTGTGAAAAATGAAATGGCTAATATACAGTACGGAATGAGTGCCCTGGAACAATTCTTTTTCTTAACGGGAAAAGAATAAAGCTATTAAAAGAATAAACTCCTGTATGTGACATGATGACAGTGGGATTTTTTGACGAGCTAAATGAATAAGCTCCCTCTCCTTTGATTTATGCTGGCACAGAGTCATTCAGGCTTCAAAAGGCAGAGAGCACATTTGGAGACGCCAGTGGTCTTCACTCTCTTTGTTTCAAGGGAGTGAGAGGCTGCGATTGGGCCAAAGGCAAGTGTTTGACAGGCAGGGACCTAAAGAGGTCGGCCCCTAAGTGCTCAGTCACAGAGGGGAGAAGAGACGCCTTGGGGGACCGCCAAATCCTTTGGGGCACCTCAGCACCCAAGCCAGGTCCTGCCTCTGCAGTGGGTCTCATCCCGAGACCAGAAAGAGTCAGACCTGTTCCTCTGCTGTCAGCCTGACTCCCAAGAAAGGAGCTAAAAATTAGGATTGTTCTTCATCTGCTGCAAAGACGGAGCCAGAGAGAAACAAAGCCCACAATAAGAACCTTAGA